TCTGGGGTCATTTATGGTTCCATATACATTTTTGGAATACTTGTTCTATGTCTGTGAAATATGTCATTGGTATTTTAATAGGGATTGTGTTGAATCTATAAATTGCTTTGGGTAGTATGGACATTTTGATGATGTTAATTCTTCCAATCCATTAACACGGTATATGCTTCCATTTATTTGTGTCTTCCTTAATTTCTTTCTTCAATGTTGTATAGTTTTCTGCATACAGGTCTTTTATCTCCTTGGTTAAGTTTATTCCTAAGTACTTTATTTTTCTTCTTGCTATATCGAATGGTATTTTTTTTCTGATTTCTTCTTCTATTTCATTGCTGGTGTACAAAAATGCCTTTGATTTCTGAATATTGACTTTGTAGCCCGCTGTTTTGCCATATTGACTTATTAGATTGAGTAGGTTTTGGTGGAGTCTACAGGGTTTTCTATGAACACTATCATGTCATCTGCAAATAATGGTAGTTTTACTTCCTCTTTTCCAATTTGGATGCCTTTTCTTTCTTTTTCTTGTCTGATCACTGTGGCTATGACTTCCGATACTATGTTGAATAGAAGTGGTGAAAGTAGACATCCTTCTCTTGTTACTGATCATAGTGGGAAAACTTCTAGTTTTTGACCATTGAGCATGAGGTTGGCTGTAGGTTTTTCATATATGGCCTTTATTACATTGAGGTATGCCCCTTTTATTCCCACTGCTGAGTGGTTTTTTTTTTTTTTATCATAAACAGGTGTTGTACCTTATCAAATGCTTTTTCTACATCTATTGATATGATCATGTGGTTTTTGTCTTTCTTTTTGTTTATGTGATGTATCATGTTTATTGATTTGTGAATATTGAACCATCCTTGCATCCCTGGGATGAATCCCACTTGATCATAGTGGATGATCTTTCTAATGTATTGCTGGATGTGGTTTGCCAATATTTTGTTCAGGATTTTATCATCTATGTTCATCAGCAATATTGGCCTGTAGTTTTCTTTCTTGGTTGTGTCTTTATCTGTTTTTGGGATTAGGATGATGCTGGCCTCATAAAAAGAGTTTGGGAGTCTTCCCTCTTCTTGGATTTTTTTGGAATATTCTGAGAAGGACAGGGGTTAGCTCTTCCTTGAATGTTTTGTAAAATTTCTCCTGTGAAACTGTCCAGTCCAGGGCTTTTCAGTCCTGGGAGTTTTTTGATTACTGATTCAGTTTCACCAGCTGTTACTGGTCTGTTCAGGCTTTCCGCTTCTTCTTCATTCAGTGTTGGAAGGTTTTATTTTTCTAGAAATTTGTCCGTTTAGTCCACGTTTTCAAATTTCTTTCAGCCAATAGTCTTATGGGGACTCCTTTGTAGTAGCTCTCTTCTTTTCTCTTGCTGCTTTTAAAATTCTCTCTTTATCTTTAACATTTGGCATTTTAGTTATGATGTGTCTTGGTGTGGTCCTCTTTTGGTCCAACTTGTTTGGAACTCTCTGTGCTTTCTGGACTTGTATATCTATTCCCTTTGCCAAATTAGGGAAGTTTTCCTACATAATTTTTTCAAGTACGTTTTTAATTCCTTGCTCTTCTTCTTCTCCTTGCATCCCTATGATTAGGATCTTGGAACATTTGGAGATGTCCCAGAGTCTTCTTATACTATGTTCTTTTAAAAAAAATTTATTTACTTTTCCAAATATATTTGTCTTCGCCTTCCCCCCACCACTTTCCCCTGCCTCTCTCCCCACTCTCTGTCCCTCAATCCTTTCCCACTTTGGCATTGTCCATGAGTCCTTGCTGTATGTTCCTTTACTTGCCCCTTCCCTTCCTTGCAGCACAATTTACAATAGCCAAGTGTTGGAAGCAACCTAAATGCCCATCAGTAGATGATTGGATCAAAAAATTATGGTACATTTACACAATGGAATACAATGCAGCAGAAAGAAAAAAAGAACTACTACACTTTGTGACAGCATGGATGGAACTAGAGAGCATTATGCTAAGTGAAATAAGCCAGGGGGCAAAAGACAAATATCTTCCTTTTTTCAAAAATTCTTGTTTCTTCTTTCTGTTCTAATTGAATGTTTATTTCTTCCTTATGTTCTAAATTGTTGATCTGAATGCAGGCTTCATTCCCTTCACTGTTGGTTCCCTGTAGATTTTTCTTTATTTCACTTAGTGTAACCTTCATTTCTTCCTTTCTATTGTTGCTGTACTCAATGAGTTCTTTGAGCATTCTGATCACCAGTGCTTTGAACTCTGCATCTGATAGGTTGGCTGTCTCCATTTCGTTTAGTTCTTTTTCTGGAGTTTTGTTCTGTTCTTTCATTTGGACCATAACTTTTTGTCCTCTCAATTTGGAAACTTCTCTGTGTTTGTTTCTGTGTATTAGATAGAGCAGCTTTGACTCCTGGTAAAATGTACCTGTAAATTGTGTGGAGTGGAGCCTTAGGTAATCACCAGGGTGGGGCAACCGGCTTCACTGCTTTGTGGCTCTGTGTGGGGAGAGCATTCAGAGAGGGAATTTTGCTACTGCCTGGCTTCTAAAGGTTGGCTTAGCATTTGCCCCACTTCCATTTACTTCTTCCACTCCTGCATGTGACTATCGCCCTTCTCGCTGTTGCCCAGGTGTTGATCTCAAAGTGGGTGGGTTTGTGTACATTTTAAGACTGTGCTGGCCCTTTAAGTGACGTTTTCTGAAAATACCACAGTTTTGTCCCCTGCCTCAACCCCTACTGTTTTTTTTTTTAAGCCAGAAGTTATGGGGATTTATCTTCCCTATGTGGGAACCCTGAGCTATGCAGTCTGGCCAGGGGGTAGAATCGCTTGCTTCCATAGCACCCCTCCCAATTTTTACCTACCACACATGAATATGGTACTGCCTGTGCCCGTTCTGCTGCCACCACTGCCTCTCCACAGCATACCACTTCTCGCCACTCCACTGCTCCTAGCCATCTGTATGAATGGGTTTCTTTAAATCCTTGGTTGTTGGACTTCATGCAGTTTGATTTTCTGACAGTTTTGGGTGTTAGTTTTGAGATTTAGTTGTAATTCCTTTTTGTGGTTGCTTGAGGAGGTGAAACCTGTCTATCTCCACCTCCTTCTTGATCAGAAGTCCTAAATTCATTCTTTTGGTCATACATTTTACCCAACATTCTTGATTCTAGATAATTTTTGATGATTTCTAAATATCAAATCCATAATAAAAGAATTTTGAAACTGGCCTCCATCAAGGCTATTTAAAAAAAACAACATGTAATCCAGATTTTGAAATCAATCCAAGAGAAACATTCTAAAGGCAGCATCACTGGAATAAATGGATAGCATGACAAACCTGATTATTTTGAAGTGATTAACTATTTTGTGTGTACTTTTACTGGAATATTTTAAAAACATTCCTTTAAATTAGATTATATAAATAAATGCCTATTGACTATAGCTAAATTTGTGGGTTCAGTATATCTTAATTGCATTTCAAATGAATTTTTCTCCTAAAGGAGCTTAGTGTTGACTCACTTTTGCTGCAAATTGCAGCATACTTACTAGATTTTTAAAATCTATTTTGCTATTTAGATAATGTTTTTGGAAAAAGAGAACATTTATGCTCATATCATCTCACTTCAGTGTTGCTATCATAAGAATTTCTAGAACCTAATATGTTAGATAAGACTTTTGGTGACCTTTTAAAAAAACCTATTTATGCAAACTTTGTCTCCTAGATAAAGTTGACTTGGATTGTCCTTCAAGGACAGTTATTAAAGAAATATGTATCTGTAATATTAACCAAGGTTTAGTAGTAAATTTTATGTTAAAAATTCCATCATGTGGCTATATAAGTTTGGGTCTAAATGTCCCGAAAGTTGACATTAATGAGAAAAGCAGGTGATGTAGATTCTGAATACATCCATTTTTTTTGGGAGGGGGAGCTCTTTTATTGGGAAGTGCTACTTCAAGTCAGCAAATAGAAGAAGAAATTCCTAAGTCTCCATATTAGATATATTATTCACCTTGGGGCAATTTAATATGAAATGCCTGCAAGCACTCATGTTTGGGGGATTTCCTAGTCCCAAAGTAGAGGACAAATTCACTTTGACACTTATTAGAAGAGGTTCAATCTAATTAAAATCACTAGACTGGAGGAGTAAGAATCAGTATGTGCATGTAGGACTTAGAAACCAACCTGGACAAAGGATGCTAAATTAAGTTCCTGGGTTAGAACAATCAGCTGAGTTAATGTTCAAGAATGTGCTTCATGTATTTTACCCTTACACTCTTTCTCTGCCACCTCCAGCAGGTTTTTATGGGACTTTCCATTTGAAATTAATTATACAATAAATTGGAGGTTTGGAATCTTAGGGTCTCAATGTCTGGGCAACTTGTTTAATTTTCCTGAATCCACCTGAATTTCCCTGTCAGTAAAACAGGCATGAAAATACCTACTCACAGGTTGCTTCATGAATCTAATGAGATAAAGTAATATAAATAATAATCATAGCTTATGTTTATTGAGAACTTCCTGTCTGCCAGGTACTATTCTAAGGATTTCACATGTACTTGCTCATCTCCTCCTCCCTGAAATCTTATTATTTCTATTGTAGAGTTAAGGAAACTAAGACAGTATATGGAAAATCTTTGAAACATCTAAAATACATTAAACAAATGTAAGCTATTGTCTTTTTAAAAAGATTTTGTTTACTTATTTTTAGGGAGGGGGAAGGGAGGGAGAAAGAAGGAGAAAAATATCGATATACGAGAGATACACTGAGTGGCTGCCTCTGACATGCCTCAAACCAGGGACCTGGCCTGCCACCCAGGCACATGCCCTGACTGGGAATCCAACTGGCAAACTTTTGGTTTGTGGGAAGACACTCAACCCACTGAGCCACACCAGCCAGGGCTAAGCTATTGTCTTAAGTCTCCCTAAAGTATACATTTTCCTCTCAATTTGACCTAAGTCCAACAAATGCTAACACCAAAGTCCAAATTTCTGTTTTGCTCCATTTGTTTGAATATGTTCCCTTTTACCCTACAAGGTTTCCTGAGGATACAATGACGGTCACGGTGGTATATGATAACTCTGAGGCAACAGAGCTCTGTGCAGCTCAGCAACTCTACCTCAAGCCCATAGCAAAATTGATGATCAATGTATTGCTCCCAGAGAGTACAGAACCTATGAGGCCTTTCTCGAACTGGGAAGTTCTTGACCAGCTGAAGAGCCTGATTTGCCCTGATCAGTTCACTACAGTTCGGCTCTCTAAGAGTACGAAGAACTTCATCCGATTTGAGGGGGAAGCTGAAACGCAAAGTTTGGTTCAGATCCTGAAGGCAAAATTACATGGGAAGATCATCAAGCTAAATGGTTTGAAAACACACTTAAAAGTAGTGGCTACAGATGCCCAGGGAGAATGGGAGCACTTAAGCCAGGAACAGGAGACCCCATCAAATGATAGGGCTGATGAGATGGACCACAATAAGAGCCAAGATTCCATACATTTCCAAGGCTTACCCTGCAAGTGGTTTGCACCTAAAGGTTCCAGTGGGGAGAAGCCATGTGAAGAGATCCTCCGGGTGGTCTTTGAAAGTTTTGGGAAGATTAAGAATGTGGATATTCCTATGCTTGACCCCTACAGAGAGGTAATGACTGGTGGAAACTTTGGGGCTTTTAGCTTCGGCTTGCAGACATTTGAGGCCTTTATACAGTACCAGAAGTCAACTGACTTCATAAAAGCCATGGAGTCCCTTCGAGGGATGAAGCTGATGCTTAAAGGGGATGATGGAAAAGCTCTGGCATGTAACATTAAGGTAAGAAGTGGCCAGAATTTTTTTTTCTTTCCTGATGTTAAAGTGGTCCTAAGCAAAAGCTAAAAGAGAGCATCTAGAATAAATTTCCTTAGACCCCACTGGCTCTGATCAATAGGTCATGTAAAGATTTGTGTTGTCATTAATAAATGGATGTTTAGGAAAAAAAATAGCCCTGATCTGAATATCCTTTTCCTATCAGGCCTGCTGCCAACTGGGTTTTTAAAGTGATTGTTGTTATAATCTGGGGCTTTTCCCTAAGTTCTTGAGGGCATTAAAGGATGCTTCATGGCTCTCATGGAAGTATCTCATGTGCTTATTCTACTTGACAAGTTGTTGAGAGAAAAGAATACATGCAGTTTGAAATCACAAAGAAAACAATTTACTTTCTCTTTATTATTGGTATCACAACTTATATTTTCAATCTGTCTCTCAGGTAAATTGCTAAAACATAATTCCAACAAACTTGGATTCTTCACTTTCAAAATCAGCTTGTCTGTCATGTCACCTCACTGATGTCAGAGTATTTAGTCATCTCCTTGAAATCTTAATGCAGCAGAGGAAAAGATGCTGCTAAACCTTCCTTTTTCTCTAAATTAATATTTAGCATGAAGTTAGACTTTTAGGTTAGGTAGCTTCCTATGTATGAGTGTATGTATGTGTGTTATGTGTGAAGCTACTCATGTTAAAATGTAACTTTAAAATTATGAGCTATTCATTCAAGCAAAAGATATGGGAAACACTATAATGACCACTTATATACCACTGCCCAGCTTGTGCTTATCAGAGCCTGTGCCTGTAATAGCATTGTGGTATCACCTAAGACTGTGAAGTGAGCTCCTCAAGGTTCTGGCAGAGAGAATTCTGGAGCCCACAGGACTGTTAGGAAGGCTACTGAGAAGCAGTCAAACTGTATGGGTACTGGGATACAGAGAGAACACTTTTAATTCATTTGGTTTTGAATTGACTGTGTCCATATTAGTTTTATTTCTCTGGCCTGAGACACACTAGCAAACTTGTCTAATCAAACAAGTATTTGGGGGCAGGTTACGTTTGATACAACCAAACACTTCAGTGAAGGAGCCATAAGGAGGAGAAATCAAGAAAGGCTAAAATTACAAGAGCTGGAGGAAGAAAGGAGAAAAGAAAAGAAGAGAGAAGAGGAAGAGGCTAAAAGGTAAGGAGACCAACTTTAATAAGAGGGTGTTTTAACTTTTGTTTTATGGATTTATCCCTTTGGGCGAGTGGCTAGACTCGATAGATTACATTGAGGTGGGGAGGAGGGCAAGAATTGGTTCAGATTGGAGGACTCCATAGAAGTCTTCAGTCTTCCAACTGTGCTGTTACAAAACCAAAATGACAAGAAACAGTTGAAAACAAATGACTTTAAAAGAAAGCATCCTTGTTAGGGAGAACAAGTAATGAAAAGTAATGGGACTAGCCAGATTGAGCTGTCTGGAAAGTGATTTTAAAAAGGGGACCAGGAACTTTGATAGTGAAAATTATAGCGTACCAAATTTTAAAAATTTACACATTTACCTAAAATTTACCAACTTTTACATAGCCTGCTAATCTCAAGTGTTTTTTTAAACCCTCTTTTTAGGTCTAGAGAAGGTTTTCTTCCATAGGATATGGTCAGTATTCAAACTAACCCATAGGCAAGAAGGCATGGATTGAATTTTTGGGAATATTTTTCTTGTTGGCCTAAGTTCTTTCTGTGAATTTAAGGAGCCTCTACTTTTATTTCCTTGAGCTTATCATTGTTTCCCAATTTAGGAGTTTGAGACTAGAAAGGGCTATTGGATTATCAAAGGTTTTCCAAGAAGGTACAAATGGGCCATAACTTCAGGACTCTCAGCTGTATTTCCTGGCCCCTCCCCTTGCATGTTTATTCTTCCAGTCTTCCATGTAAATTACAGCCCTTCAAGAAAGGAGATAAAGAGTGTCCTTCCTTGTTGTGCCTCTAACTTTTTTGGTGGGCAAGGTGATAGGGGTTCTTGAGGTCACATCTGTGAAACTTGGCCAGAAGTTACACCTAGTCAATGTAACTACCCACCCCAAATTTCTGGATTTAACATGCAGTTAAGATAATCCTCTGACATTTGACTAAGTTCTTACTCAGATAATTGTCCTTTCTTGGCCTTTCCCCATGTTTCCATAAGGGCTTAACCAAAATAGTTTAAATTTTCAGACAGCAGCAGTAAAAATAAAGCCCATATTCTTCTAAGCCAGTATGGTTATTTATTTGTTTGTTTGTTTATTTATTTGTTCAAATACATTTGTCTCTGCCTTCCCACCACCACTTTCCCTTCCCCATGTTTTTATGATGGTGTACTGTGTTGTATAATATGTACAAAAGACCAGTTCTCATACTTAAGATTTTCTGAGTGCCTTGACTTACCTTTATTTGCCTACATGAAACCAGCTCATGGAAGGTTTTGATCGCAAGAAAAAAATGAAATCATAGCTGTGAAAGCTGGTCCAGTAGTCTCTGCTTGTGGTTTGAGAAAATGGGGGCTAGAGTCCTCTCCTTTGAATTCTGTAGTCTTTTTTTGGTATTCTCTGTGTAAGGTCTCCCGTGCACGCTTCTAATTGATCAACTCCATATGAGTCTTTGCCCTTTGATGGATGTGTCACAGTGTTTTCTATCTTCAGTTGTCTCTGTCAGGCCTTGGGGTTAGCAGTGAAAGATTCCTGGAAACCTAAATGATCTGTTCTTTATCCGTGTTGTCTCCCTCCTTTCCCCACTCACAGTGGTGAAGGAGTGGGGAGGAGAGCAAATGCCAAATAAATACTTTCTGAATGTTTGAACTTTAATCATTGTCCAGAAAAAGAAAGGAGGAGGAGAGGAAAGCCCAGGAAAAGAGGAAGAAGGCCAGGGTCAGGAGGCGAGCCCTGAAGGAAAGGGACAGACGTCGGCAAAGGAAGCGGGACAGAGCCAAAGCAGAGGCGCCCCGGGAGCCCAACTCTTCAGAGGAGTGGGAGCAGAGGAAGTTCCTTCTGGCTCAGAGGCGGGTGGAGGCTGTTTGGTTGCTACTGGTGCTCCTGAGGAAAATTGCAGTAAGGCTCTTTCCCACTGATTTACTGTTCAGTTTCTTTCTGAGACAACCCTTTCAGTTACGCAGTCCCCTATTTAAATCAATTCCATGGAAGACATATTGCATTCATTGTGGTTTATTTTCAATAGGCTGATTGATCTCTAACAACCCCAATTGTGGGTTTACATTATGGGTACCAAATTTTCTCAGGGAGTTGTGTTTCACCCTTGCCATCTGCTGCACATACTTTGTGTTTCCAAACTTTAGGATGGTTTTACCCAGGGCATTATAGCTAGTGTATCTACTTTTCTAAGTTCCTAATGGATGTAACAGAAAAACATCAGGGGGAAGAAATGGATGGTGTGGGTGTTAGTTTTGCAGTCTTCCATTAAGTCTACTTGTCATTTTTCTGCAACAGATTTGAATGAGAAGGGAGAGCTTTGAACAGATAACTGTATAGCAAGCTCATGTTAGTCTAGTCTTTGCTAAGGAATTTCTCACATCACAGAGCAATTGTTTTGTTTGGAAAGTTCCAATTTTAGAAGTTCTTTTTTCCCCCACTTACTGACCTCCTAAAGATAATCAGACTCAGCAGATGTCCCCGAGTAAAGGTCAGAAAGGCTCCCAAACTGTTGATTTAAAAATCCATATTCAGTGTTTTTTTTAATAGTGTACAAAGATTAAATAGCATTAGTAGATAGAGTTCACTTAATGTGTATTTGCAGTCTCAGTCTTTTTCTCATTAGCGTGGACAAACAGTGAAATCAGGATCAGAAAAATATTACATTTCCATTTATGATAAGGCTAGCTGGATCTTTTTTAATTTGCTTTAATGACCACCAAGGGTGACTCCTTTTAAAGAATTTATCTCTTTAAATATGTGTGATGCCTAATTCTTGGCCCCATTGATGCCTTTTACTGATTACACGGTCTCCACATTCTAATCACAAGTAATGGGTGAGCACTGTACCCTGATTTGCACCAGGTGTCAGTAGAAGTACGCTTCACACTCTTCCCCAGGGTGGGACTGGGAGCAGCACTTTTCACCTGCCCTGTGGTTGTGCAGAACAGATAGTACCACAGACAGAACCATTGTCAGGGCCACATTTTTACTCTCTGTGTTGTCTCTGAGGGTAGGCAGAGACACCCTCATCTGCAATCCATAGGAAGAAACTGGAATGAAAAACAGGAAGACAGGTTATCTTGTAAGCCAGTTGACTCTCTTGCAGACCCACATTTTATCTACCAGTCTTTTCTTGTTTTAGGATTTTCTGGGAAGGCTATAGACCATTTCTTATTATTCTTCATATCCCCAGTTTGTGAACAAATAAAAAAGGGTCATGTGCTTTGAAAGTATGTAAACCATGGTGCCCTGTAACATACAGATGGGCACAGACCTTGTAAAAGTAGCTCACATTAGACTGCGAAATTTAGTTTGATATCTCCTGTTTCCTCGGTGCGACATTGTTCCTAATTTGAATCTATGCTACATGTTATTAGAAACCTCTTACAACGATGTCAGAAATCCCAATATTCTTTGAAATTTTTAATCTGCTTAGTTTTTTATGCCCGATTTTTAACCTTTTTTTTTTTAAGGAATCTGCAGAGTTTAACCCACAGGAAGTAGTTGTTGCAGGCCATAAAGCTAATTATGGTCTGGGGAACACATTGCAAACTCTGAAGAGAGAAGAGTTAAATACTCAGTATCTTCAAAATAAGGAGGAAATGCCAAGATGTCAGGTTGCCAATAAACAAAAACAAAACATGAAGAAAAGAACTCAATTACATAAATCTTCCCACTACCACCAGAAGAAAAAAAGAAGATATTCAGTTAGAAAAAAGAAAATGGGAAAATTATTAACCAATGGATTCAATTACAGTTTTGTCTCTGACCAGAATAGCTTGCAAATTTCATTAATTAAAGGTCAACCTCTTGAGAAAGAAGACCACCTCTGTTCTAATAAATACTATCCTTCCAAATTATCTGAGAGAGACCATGGCAGAAAAAATAAAATATATGAAACATGTGACTTGATTGACTTTCTACTAAACCATTATTATCAGACTCCAAGATATCCCTCTATCTGCCTAGAACCAAGTCATCCAAAAAGCACATGTCAGTGGCAGAGGTCTGTGCATGCTATGGGAAATGGATTTCAAGTCAATTTGAGAAAATGTAATTGTCACTCAACCAGGTTGAGCCAAACACAAAAGCTGCAAAGTAGAGAACAGATTCAAGAAGACGATTGCGAGGCAAAGATTCATACTCAGGATCCTGTGCATAAACCACAAAAAAGAGCAAAAGTGGATTATGCCAAAGAATGTACTAAAGAGTTAAAAAACCATCACAAGGGTACAGCCAGTGAAGCTCATGATCAGCTGATCCCAACTGATAGAAAGGGCTATCGGTTGGAAAAGACCCATGCTTACCAGGTCAAAGATTCCAAATCCAGAAGTCAAAGCCAAGTTTCCTCATCCAAAATGTCAGCAAACTTAGAGTTGGAGTTCACAGATTTAATAGAGGAAATTAGTAGTGATTCTGAATGGTTTGGTGAAATACCTACCATAAACAACGAGAAGAAAGAGAAATCTGTGGCCACATATGAAAGTGTCCCAGAAAGAGAATCTCTTGGTACTGATAAAGTCATCACTTACAATCAAGAAATTAGATCAAGTCAGTCTACCTTGTATTCAAAGTGGAAACATTTTGGGGAAGATAAATACTCTAAATACCAGCTTAAGAAACCAGGTAAGAGGTCCACGTATGAACAGAGATATTCGTGGCTTGAGGATGAAAACAATTCCGTGTGAGCCAAGAACAGCAACAGCAAAAAGTATAAAAAGCTAGCCCCCAAATACTTGTTTTATTAGGGCAACTACCACAAATCCAGTTCCAGTGATGTATTAAACAACAGTACAAGAAAGAAGAAGAAGTTTATGATAATACATTTGACCAGAAAATTAACTACAGGGCCTTTCATGTGCCAACAACGTCATCAAAATGTGCTAGTGCTTTCTATTCCAGGCGTTTTCCCCAAAGAAGAGAGATTCTGCAGAAGTCAGAATATAACCAGGATGCAGGAAGGTTCAAAAGACATGAGAATTCGACAGATTTCATGCTGACTTCAGATAATTATTGTATTAAACGTAACAGTCGGAAGCACATTGACTATGGAAGCTATAATTTAGTAAACAATTACACCAGCCCTTTCTTTTTTAAAATGTTTTGAAGGTCTCTTAGATCAGGAACACCCTTATTCACAATTAACAATTTGCAAGAAGAATATTTAAAACCAAATATAGCTATGTAGTTAGCAACAAGAGCTAGAGAGCAACATTTAAAAGCTTGAGCATGGTCAAATGAAAAACCTTGTTTCTCTTGCCAAACTATAAAATATAGGTCAAAATCACTGTATGTGTGTCAGCAAGCTTTAGAAATACAAAACATCCAGTTTCTGAAGCTCAGTAAGACAATGTACATGCAAAAGTTCTTGATTCAAGAACCAACATTTCTACAGTTCAACTGCAAGTTTAATTTGGTGCCAGTGAAGGAGCAAATTAGCATTGGGAGGAATTGAGATAAAGCCTCTTTGGCCCTTTACTATCACAAGGTCATCATTTAGCATCATTTATCTTCCAGAGGCCAACAGTGGATGAGGATCTTTGTACACGTTCTTTGGTTTGGTCAGAACACCATGTACAGCAAACTTTCCTCACTTTCATCTATCTAGAAACAACTATAGATCAAAGAAATGAGACAATGGCTAGAACATAGACTTCTTCGTGACACTAGAGGGTTTCATGAGCACCCATTAGAAAGAAATTAATCTTATTAATATGTTCATAGTGCTCAAGGAATTGTCCTTCTGGAAACGAAGTCTTGGAAGAAGAATTGAAAAGGGGCCCAGATGGCCCTTTGAGGCTTAAAGGGACAGTGGACAATTAGCAGAGTTGTTTTCAAAGAACTTCATGCCATTCCAGCCTAGAAAAGCAACAGGATTGAAGTGATGCAACTGGTGGGATTTGCAAAAGGAAATATTGAAAGATCCTTGGGCACCAATAATGGCACTTGGGAAGAGAGGAGATGAGAGTATTCCATTTCAGGTTATGTAACCCTTTCACTCAGGGTTGGGTGACATCAGTTTGGAAAAAGCCAGTGAACATCTCCAATATGACTTTTATTAAACAGTAACAAGTGCCTCCTCAATACTCAATAATGTCATGGAGTTAGGAAGAGTCAAGGGCAATGCCCATAGTTTTCTAGTTAGGGAAAATCATATGTGTGCAGGATTTGTAAACTCTTAACATAAGCAATTTATCTTTTTACCTACTGGTTTTGGACTCCTTGACTCTGTTTTTAAATTGAGATATTTTATAGATTTGTAAAGACTTCATCTTAATGTGGTACATGTTCTATTGAAAGCTTGGCTGATTCATTCTGCCTTATATTGAAATTAGGACCTCAGGGGCAGTAGATGACCTTTATTCCTTAACAAAGCTATACCTGACTTGGCAATTGAAGACATCAATGGGATTAGACAATCGGCAGCAGGAAAAAGTGATTTTAACTCACAGAAGTATTGGAAGGCAACATTTTCATATCACATGATTTATTTCCAATAGTCTTAACTTGATAGAAATGTACGAGCTCATAGAGCCAAGGTAGAGTGCTAGTCAGGGTGGTTGCCCAGAATGATGAGGCACAATGTGTGCTCATAACCAGCCTCTTGAGCAACCTGATATCTGAACGGGCTACAAAATCTTGTAACTTATCTAAAGTGAGAGCCATGGTTTGTTTCATTGATCTCTTCTAATCACATTTAACAGAGGTATGCTAGTACATGCAAAAGTTCAGAAATAAATGTAACAAAGCAGATTATGTTTACTATTAAGATAATAACCAACAAATGATTTGTTGGCTCTCTTGTGTTCAATTCCACTTTCAAGGCAGTGACTGCCATCAAAACTAGGTTTGGTTGTCAAATCTGAAAAATTGGTAATGGAGCAAATAAATGCCTTTTCTCTTCTGAAGACTGGCAATGACTATTAATGTTCAAAGTACTGTTGTCCAAGCAGCCTTTTAAACTATTAACGACTTGTATTTTGTCAGAAAACTTTCAGAAACTAGCTATTATTCTCCTTATTTTTTCATGTTTCATGCCATTTGAAACAAAGAATGTTATGGAAAGCAGCTATGCTTGTTTTGAAAAAACCTCAATTTCTTGTTATGTGATAATTTTTTCTTTGTAGAGATTTCAGTCATGGAAACAACTTGCTGCTCATAAAGACATAAAATAGTAAAAAATAAATTGCCTAAAACCACATGTGCATTTTCTTTTTTGTATAATAGAACTGGTGCTAAGTCACATCTATGTAATGTTTTTATCTTGTTTTGTTTTGTTTGCAAACTACATACCATCCTGGGACCTAAAAGAAAGTTAAAATACTGGTTTTTATGTTTACCTTCTATACAACCTCAAATTTTTATGTCTTCTGTTAACACATTCTAGATTTGAGTTAAACATCATTTTTTGTGTAGGACTTAAATGAGAGAGAGAATAATTGAACTTTTCAACTGGATGGCTTAGCAAGGACTGAAATAGAACGGAAAATATTGTCATCATTTTCTATTAATTAACATTGTTATTCTTTCCTGTGCTGTTATTTAATTAATTGGGGCAAAAGTATTTTTTCATATCTTTTTTCTATGTCCTATTAAGGCCTGAACTTTAAACTGTCCTTTGAAATAAGCGTTCTCATGTTTTCCTTCGTATGTGCTGCAGATAGTGTTTTAAGAAAGCTCAAAATTTGTCCATGTGTTTTTGTTCAATTTGAATTTCTTAGGTAGAAAGCCATGCAAATTGGAAATTTTGAAAATAGCAACCAAATAAATGCATTTTTATTTGTTGCAAGATAGTTTAAAAATGTTACCTTTTAAATAAATGCTGATGATTCCAAGATAGGGGGGTAAGTTTAGTATGCTGCCTTGCACTAAGGTTGCTGATCTTTTTTCTCATTTGTGTTGTCAGAGAAATAATACATGTTTAATTTTCAGATAAATTAAAAGTAAAATTATCATAGTAAATATAGCCTTGGTTCATTCACCATAATATTGGCTGGAATGTTGGACATCTACAATAACATTTTCTAGTGAAATATGCATGTGTAGTTTCAATGTCGTTTCTTTGAAACTTTTCCCTGTATGATGCTAGCTTATGGGAATTGACTCTCAAAGATCATAAAACCACAGGTTTATTCTGGATAAATTCAAATTGTGATATTGGGATTTTTTGACTCTTCTCCCTTCAGCCAAGGTTTTATCAGTACTATGGAAGACTAAAAAATGGACTCCATGGTATCTCCTCTCATCCCTTCAGCCCTTGGTGGAAGTGTTAAAAGTTATACAATGTCCCCGAACAAGTGTGGCTGTGGGATAGGGATCCAGTCAGAGAAGTTAGGGGCCTCGGTAATCACTCTTTGACCATTCATGAGTTAACTGTATTTTCACATGAAATGTACAGCAAACTGCTTCTAAGTATCATTTATATAAGGAAGGCAGACTAACTTAAGAGTCCAATCTGGGTACTTGGGAGCTGAAAAGGTCTTTGTTGGGTTCAAAGAGCTCCTTCTGAAACAGAAAGAACTGTATGGGTTCTTTTTTTGGATCTCAGGTTTGCAGAAGTTTGGCCCTCTGAGGTAAGGCAAATGTGACATAATGTAGAGAAGTCACAGGTTTGGATAGATACTGAAAGCATTTAGAGAATGCTGCTTAAGACCCAGACACTGGTACTGAGAACAGTGTCTCTGCAGGAGTTGAACAAAAAGCAGGTGGAGAGCAAACATGTTCACCTGACGTTTTCCCCACTGGCCCATGGTGGCTCCCTCATCTTGAATGGAGCTTTTTACATAAAATGGCTTACGAATATGTGAACTGGATTTGTGAAGTTTTTAGACCAATCTTGCCTTATAGCAATATCCTTTCACATGTGATCAAACGATGTTGATTAAGTTCTGACTGGAGGAAAATCAGGCTATTTGGGATTGAATCTTTAACCAGGCTCTGGATGTTTTCCTCTTGGCATCAGACAAACCTGTTAAACTTTGTAAAAGGAGTAGCCTAATCTTAACATCTAAATGAGATTTCAGGCTGCAAATGTGGCCCAAGTTCTTCTCTTTCCCACCCTTTCCCCAAAGCATATGGTGGTATAACAGGTTGCCTGGCACAAAACAGGCAACTTGATTATTTGTTGACTGAAAACTAGTTGGGGAAAACAGCGCATTTAAAAACAAAACGTTGTAATAATACGGTTTAACAACATAAAACATGCAAAGCTGTGAGCCCACTTTAGTTCAGGAAGTACGTATCTTGGAATAAAACTGGCAACATTAAGAGGGCAAAACACTAATATTCAGAGTAATGGGTTGTCTGTTTATATAACCGACTATATATGCAAATCTGATATCCCCCTTTTGACATGAAGTGAATTAACTTTGCTACTCTGAGTATTCCTGTTTCCCTGATCAAATGGTATCTTAAAATAAAACCATGCCTTGGCACTTGGTAACAATGCATTCAGTAAAATTATCCCTTTAAAAAGTTCTTTTTTTAATCCTCATTGATTTTAGAGGAATACAGAAAAGGAAGCATCAACATGAGAATTATCAATCGGTTGCCTCCTGTATATGCCCTGATGGGATTGAACCCACAACCTTTTGCTGTACAGAGGAATGCTCCAACAGAGCTACCCAGCCAGGGCTAAAATTATCGCTTTATATCCTTGCTACATATAGTCCTAAATGGAGGTCTGTGTTTGAGTTTAGAAAGTTCTGATTTAAAGAGGCAAAATTTGGCAAGTTACAGTAAGTCAATTCAATCCATTATTTTTTTAAAGATTTTATTTTTTGAGGGGAAGGGAGAAACATCGATGTGAGAAACATTCATCAGTTGCCTCTCTGCCTCTCCTAGGCACCCCAATAGGAGACTGAACCCACAACCCCAGCACGTGCGTTGACTAGGAATTGAACCAGTGACTGTCTTTTTGCTTTGCAGGATGAGCCCCCGAACCAACCAAGCCACACCAGTCAGAGCCCAATTCACTGTTTAATAGGACAGCTGGTATTTGGTTGTGGTGGGAGGCTTTTATTAAGTTTTGCCCATTTGTTTCTTTTGGAATACCAAAAACAAAAGATTCAAAAGTGAAAATCTTAGTATTAAGCTAAAATTAAGTGA